CGGGGCACCAGGCAGTGACGTGACGTGACGTGACGTGTCGGCAGGTGTGGAAGGTGTCGAGCGGGCAGGTGCAGCGCAAGCTGGAGCGCGCGCACGGCAAGGGCGTGACGTGCCTGCAGTTCACGCGCGACAACACGCAGATCCTGTCCGCCTCCTTCGACCGCACCATCCGGTGAGCCTTCTCAAGTCTTCATCATTCAACTCATTGCACATTTTGTAGTAAAACCTCTAGCTCGGAGTTAAACTATTTTTAGCCGACATATCTACTGTAAGTTAGGCGGCTGTCTATGCGCTCCTTGCATTTTTATGATCGAAGTATGTATGACCGTTTGGTCGCGGCCGAGATCGCTCACCTTTCACTACATCCATAGAGAGTGGATGTAGGAAAGGCGAGAGCGGTGCGTTGAGACGCCGGCCCTGCGCGTGTGCAGCATCCACGGCCTGAAGTCGGGCAAGCTGCTGAAGGAGTTCCGCGGGCACACCTCCTTCGTGAACGAGGCGGTGTTCACGCCGGACGGGCACGCCGTGCTGAGCGCCTCCTCGGACGGCACGGTGCGCCTGTGGAGCGTTCGCACCGGCGAGTGCACGGCCACCTTCAAGCCGCTGGGGTCCGGCGAGCCGCCCGTCAACTCGCTGCTGCTGCTGCCCAAGAACCCCGAGCACTTCCTCGTCTGCAACCGCACGAACACCGTCGTCATCATGAACATGGCGGGCCAGATCGTGCGCTCGCTGTCCACCGGGCGGCGCGAGGCGGAGGGCGGCGCGCTCGTCTGCGCAGCGCTCGGCGCGCGCGGCCGCCTCGTCTACTGCGCCGCCGAGGACCTCGTGCTGTACGCCTTCTGCGCCCACAGCGGCAAGCTCGAGCGCACCATCAACGTGAGTACCTCGGCCCCACCACACTCGCCGCCACCCACCACACCCTCACTCCTCACTTCCGCTTGCAGATCCACGAGAAGGCGGTGATCGGCATGACGCACCACCCGCACCAGAACCTGCTCGCCACCTACAGCGAGGACGGCCTGCTCAAGATATGGAAGCCCTAGCTTTAGAGTATTATACGATTAGGATAAGTCTTTTGTACATAGGATACATGTGGTGAGGTACGACGACCAGAGGATTTTGTACTTGAGACAAGCGCACCTTCATTCGCAAGGCGGCATTTGCAAGCCTCCGCTTGCAAAGCAATGCCGTAAGTAAAGAAACAGAAGTTGGTGTCTTGTATTAATGCATTAAAATATTAAATCTCAATATGTCTTTCAATAGTCTTCTAACTGACTTCGCAGTAAAAGACGTCCATCATTTTATATAATAAAGTATTCCGAGAATTGATTGAGTCTTGAGACTTAATAAATAATAATATCTCCTTGATACAATAAAAATGTAAAAGTTTGGATGTATGGACATTTGTTAGAAGATAGAGAAGATAGTGTCAAAGTGCACTCAGGTTTTCGTCAGGTCGGATTTGCGGGCGACGGCTAGTATCACATATTAACAATATATTGTTAACTAGCTCTAGCCCGAGACTTCGTCTGCGCGGAATCACAAAACTTTAATAAGTAGTCTATGTGTTCTATCAAGCTATGTTCTACATCTGTGCTAAATTTTAGCGAGATCCATGCAGCCGTTCTGGAGATACCTTCAAACAAACATCCATCTATCCATCCATACATGCAAATATTCACATTTAAAATATTAGTGAGATGTAGGTAAAATAAAAAATCTAGACTTGAAAGTAAAAGTGAAAGTTTAAGGCAAAAGACCTTCAGGTAAAATACAATCGGTACGGTACACCTCAAGATGTGCCTGAACTAACTAAATAAATAAAAGCATTCACTTAAAATAACAGATATTTATTCGGCGTAAGTCTAGGGCAGCGTGTCGGGTGTGGGCGTGGGCACGGGGGAGGCGGGCGTGGGCGTGGGCGCGGGCGCGGGCGGAAGGCGCGGGGGCACGCGGCGCGCGTCCGCCAGGTAGGCGTGCGCCGCGGCCGCGCGCGCCGGCACGCGCTCCGCGGGCTCGTAGCGCAGCATGGCCTCGAAGAGCGCGGCGGCGTGGGGCTGGGCGCGCGCCGCGTCGGGCAGCAGGCTGCGCGCAGGGCGGGCCGGCCAGCGCGGGAAGGCGGCGCGGAAGTCGGGCAGCTGGCGCGCGCCGGGCCACAGCGCCTCGCCGGGCGTGCCCAGCGCGCGGAACACGCGGAACAGCTGGTCGATCTCGCTGTCGCCCGGGAACAGAGTGCGCCCGCTCGCCTGCGACAAACGGCGCACAATTCTTCCATGTTAAAAACGGAAGTCGACAGAGAAGATCGTCACATTTTACGGCCTTTATTTATCTTTAAGAAGTGCGAAAATGAATGTCTATGGTATTTATGGTCCCGATACTGTTACAGCTGTAATACATATTTTATGGTTGAGATATATCTCGCTAAAACCCAGAGGAGCTCTCTGGCTCCAATAAACTGTAAATCAAACCATTAGGACGCCGCCGAATCAGTGTACCGACCAGCTCACGAGCAAAGCACACTTACCATTTCTGCGTAAATGCAGGCGAGGCTCCATACGTCCACCGCCGTGGAGTAGAATTTGGCTCCGAGCAGGATCTCTGGCGCGCGGTACCACAGCGTGACCACTTCGTGCGTGTAGGCGCGCACCGGAATGCCGAAGGCGCGCGCCAGCCCAAAGTCCGCGATCTTGATGCGCCCCTCCGCGTCCACTAGCAGGTTCTGTGGCTTGAGGTCACGGTGCAGCACGCGCTGCCCGTGGCAGTATGCCACACCCTCCAACAGCTGCCGCAGGTAGCTCTGACACACATTCCCATACATATAATACCCGAATATGGAACAAGAACAGTCAAAAAGAAAATGCAAGTGTATATACTTCAATAATTTCAATCTTTTTTTTTTAATTTATTACCTTAACTAGATCTAAATCTAAAGGTCCACTAGTCAGATCCATTAGACGTTTGAGATCCATGTGCAGGCATTCAAAAACAAGGAACAACTTTGAGTCAACCAGCAACACATCTAAAAGCCGCACAACAGCGGGATGCTTCAGCTCTCGCAGCACTGAGATCTCTCGCAATGCCGTTGATGGTACACCCTCCGGCTCACTGTGGACATTACAGTGGAACTACTGTACTATGTTGTGCTAACAAGAATATTTAACTTTGTAAATTAAATAAACTAAACCTTTACATATATTTTGGCACTATAAAAACTGTCAGCATTATGTGTGTTTTGGCTATCCACTCCACATGTTTAAATTGCCCCATGCTGTACTGGGACTGTTGATGGCTCACTTTGCTACCTTACTGAAGAAATAGTTGCAGCAATTTACTCAATGCACTTATCAGACAATCCACAGAAATACTTCCCCTTCACACCTTATGTGTGGTGGTGGTATTGCACGGGCCAAGAGGGCCTTTTAACCAGCAGCATTAGAATGGACTAACGGGCTCTGCAAATCTACATATATACAGTCAAATAAACAGTGTATAGGCACTGTAATTAAAATAGAAATATTTTGTATAAGTGACTGTTCATAAGAAAAAAATAAAATACAAATTGACACTTAAATATCAAAACAAAGGGCATATTTAAACAAGAGAGCTTACAAAGCTCTGAATCATTTAATAAATTGAACCTAAAATATCGCAAGCAATGTATCAATTGCAAGCAAACGTCAATTTTGGCGCCAAAACTTACTTTTCAAGTTTTATTTTCTTTAAAGCAATTTCTTTTCCAGTTATTCGATCTCTTGCTTTATAAACTACTCCATATGTTCCTTCCCCGATTTTTTCCACTTTTGAAAAGTTCTCCATTAATGATGGTTATAACTGAGCTAACATTTAGAGCAATCTAGGTATACAGAATTTGCAACCATATTATAAATTGTTTTGTTTTGTATAAGCAGCTAGCCGTTCTGGTAATTGCCAATCAAAGAGTATAGTTAATATAGTCTAGAAATACCAGTGCAATGTCAAGTGTCAATGTCAATTTCAACTCTCCAACAAGTTGTTTTTTTTTTTTTTGTGGCTTTGTTACCTGGTATATATTATACCAATACAGTCTGATATATAG